CTGGAACGAGCGGAAATTATAATTATTGAATGATTTTCTTTATTATTGTATCTGCCTTCTATCAATATTTGGAATTGCTTTTTTCCTTTTTTAGATTTTTCATGCTTGGAATAACCATGTTATATTATCAAGGTATCTTGGAATCATTGCTATTGGAATATTGTGGATATTCTAATTTTTTATTGTTATTATGCCTGGGAAAATGGTATATTAGTGGAATGCATTTGCAGTCTTGAATATATCCTTTTTGATCAAAATAGATAAATTTCTAAGATAAATAAAATTTTAAATCAAAATATAAATTAATTCCTATTGATCTTGAGATTAATTTATCGAATTTAAAAAAAAATTTTAGGGACAACGTCACATGGTGTTCCCAAGCGGTCACTCATCCAAGTACTAACCATGCTCAACGTTGCTTGACTTCAGTGATCAGATGAGAATTGGTAGATTCAACGTGATTTGGACATTGCCCGAGTATCTAAGATTTGAGAACATTTTGTTTGATTTTGTGATTCTATTGTTTTCATACGTTTCCGGCGGAAGATGGAGTGATTTGGACGTTGTCCGATTACCTTATTTAGAAATGATTTTGTGATTTTGATTTTACGACTTAAGGTCTGTTCATGTCAAAATCATGTCATATGCTTCAATATGTTCAAACCTATAAAGATTTTACAATCAGTTCAGTAATGACTCTCATGATTCAAGTACTGGCGTAGTATAGGTAAACTACTGGACCAGTATTGGCTAAATACTAGATGATAACTTGGATCCAATACCGGCAGATGGTACTTAATCATTTTAGCTAATCATTAGCCAATAAAGACCTACAGTAATGATTGACGGAACTTTGGCTATCAGTTGATAGTCCTAGGGTTGGCTAAGCATTGGTTTCATTGTAATTGTTGACAACCTTATATAGGAATATGCTTCTACCATAGCTCTTTCTCATTCCAATACGTTTGTTAGAATGAGTAAGAGATAGGAACATGTTAGAGGATATTGGAGCATGTAACGCGAACAAACTTGTAATCATCTTCATACTTTTATTTGTTTATGTAGCAATATAATAAGCAATGCTATATTATTTGTAATATTGCTATAAAAAGAAATTATGAAACAATAGAAAACACAAAACCAAACAAAACTGTTCTCAAATCTTCGATCAGGGCAACGTCCAAATGACGTTGAAACTACCAGTTCTCGTCTGATAACTGCAGTCCAGCAACGTTGAGTACGATTAGTACTTGGATGGGAGACCGATTGGGAACACCGTGTGATGTTGCCTATAAATTTTTTTATTTTTTGTCAATCATTAAAATCAAATTAACAACCATTTTGTTCTAAAAAAACGAAATGAATGTAACTGATTTAAGAATATTTTTTTTATTCCCATACAGGAGACTCCAACAATTATAAAGAAACTAATAGTTAACGAATTTTATAACTGTCAATTGACGGCCAAGGTTCTGTCAATCACTATTCAAGTTTCAGTGGCTATCAAATAACAGCCAATGTTCTGTCAGCCAGTACTAGGCTAATTATAAAATTTTCTCTGAATTTGATGCATGCAACATGAACAGATCTCACAAATCACAAGAATAAGAAAATCATTCTTAAAAAATCTAATAATCGGACAACGTCCAAATCACGTTGAAATTACCAGTTCTCGTCTGATCACTGAAGTCAAGCAACGTTGAGCACGGTTAGTACTTGGATGGGTGACCGCTTGGGAACACCGTGTGATGTTGTCTCTCAATTTTTTTTATTTTTTGTCAATCATCAAAATCAAATTAACAACCATTTTGTTCTAAAAAAACGAAATGAATGTAACTGATTTAAGAATATTTTTTTTATTCCCATACAGGAGACGCCAACAATTATAAACAAACTAATATTGAGCCAATTTTATGACTGTCAATTGACGGCCAATGTTCTGTCAATCACTATTGAAGTTTCACTGGCTATCAAATAACAGCCAATGTTCTGTCAGCCAGTACTAATTATAAAATTTTCTCTTAATTTGATGCATGCAACATGAACAGATCTCACAAGTCACAAGAGTAAGAAAACTATTCTTAAGAAATGTAATAATCGGACAACGTCCAAATCACGTTGAAACTACCAGTTCTCGTCTGATCACTGAAGTCAAGCAACGTTGAGCACGGTTAGTACTTGGATGGGTGACCGCTTGGGAACACCGTGTGATGTTGTCTCTCAATTTTTTT